CAAAAAGGAAGCACGGATTGCGGTCGAGCAAAGAGTAATGCCAGAAGGGGAGCCAGTCGACCTGCTTCCCCGCCCATCAAATATATTGTTGCTTCAGAAGAAACTCATTCGTAAATATAATCGTAAAACCGAAAGAGTAGAATCTGAGATCGGTGTGCGGCTCAGAATCCTCCCCCTCGAGAGTACAGTAGATGAAGATGATCATGAAGGTGAAGAACCTGATGATGATGGTAGCATGTTTGGAGAGTTATACGGGTTAAACGACAACACAAATGGGTCTGTCTTTGGTGTTGATAGATTACCTCTCCTTCCTGACTAGAGCAGTGCAAAATAAAAAAGAAGACTACAAAAACACAGGTATGTTTGCAAATCTCTTATTATTTTGGTCAAACTTTCTAATTATTTAAAAAAAATAATGCATTATGTGTGAAGATTGTTAATAAAAGTTATGTTATCTAGTAAACTTATATTTGTAACGGAAAATTGAAAAAAAATATAAAAAAAAAGGCATAGTATAATTTTATTAATTATATTAAGATAGGACTAAAAATCCAGTAATCAATTGCTGCATTGATTTTGTTACATCACTGTTCATGGAAACTATACTGAGTGTCAATCTCTAACAAAAGTATTATGTGTTTTATTTGATTATTTCTAAAAAAATTATGTTAATGTCCATTGGAGAAAGAAAAGCAAAAGGACAAAAAAAGAAAAAAAAATAATAATTAAAAAATTGCTTCAGGAAAATACAAATCTTGAGGAAACACATGTAGATTTGATTAGGTAGGCCATTTATTAGTGCTAGTTTTTTTTATGCTATTAATATTCTTTCGGTTAGTTGTTTCGTGCCTTTTGGAAGGAAACCGACTCCAGATAACACTTGAAGCAAACAAGATAAGCATAAATATGACCTGAACTTCGTATTATGAGAAATTTGGATAGCTTTCAGTGTTTGACAGTTTATCAAAGTTAGTGGCCCAAAACGAATTTCGGCTAAAGATTCAATTATAAAATTCATTTTTGATGCTCTTTTTTTCCCACTTGAAGCAGTATTAAAAATGCTTATCCAGAATCCCAAAGTCAAACCTTTTTTTAGGAGTCTAATTCATTGCCCTGACTACTAGTAATTTTCTTTAAGCCTCATCTAATCATGCACTGACTTAAAGATCATATTTTTTTACTGCAGTTGACCTTAGTTTGTTGGTGGGTCAGTCGAGTTACCTGGGCAATTGGCATTTTGTTTTTTTTTTATTTGAAGGATTATTGTGGTATTTTATATTTTTATATATAACTGAAGTATATTGGTTGATTGCGATTCATTTTAAGGCATATACCTGGTACAATGGGAGGTTATTAACTGCAGCACTTGGTAAAACGAACGATAACGGTGCATTGCATTTCTCTGTTTGAATCTAATACATGTTGATTTGTTTGACGAGGACTGATTTTCCTGGTAAACTAGTCACGTGTTAATTCCTGTGATGGCAGTAACAAACGGCTTATCACGGAGATCTTGCAACTTAGATTTGTCAAGAAGTACATAACTTCATTTGCGCATTTATTGCTTTGAAGTTCAGTTCTTGCTCTCAATATTAATTCAATTTATTAATAAGTTTTCTAGAAACAAATTTAGACCTTTTAACTATCTGTTTGTGTCCAGCAAGAACCTATGTAGAAATTGGAATTTTTTTTGCCATTCCTAGACGATTTTTCGATCATTCCAACTCAGCATACTAATTTTGTCTGAATGCGTCCAAAATCTTGTCTTTTAGAGATAAAAATAATAACCCCTCCAACTAATTAAATGAATAAATAAAAAAGGCTGTAAAGTTAATGGATCTTCTGTTTATTTTATTTTTCGGTTTTGGGATCATCCTCACTCTTTTTCACCTTTTTAGGTGGAGAAAACGTCGACATCCAAAGTATTGTCCGTACGAGAATGAGGTTTGCTCCGAAAACAACATTTGTAAGGTATTGAAGTTGCACTTTCGACTTATTTCCAGTATGCACTTGTACATATATATTTCTAAAACTATCTCCTATGCATTTCGTTTGGGCGAGCGAGTACAGAAACGAAAAACCTTCACTAATCGAGTAAAACTGTTTAGTGATGGAAATGAAAACCGCTTTCAAAAATCCATCTGCACTTGTTTATTTTTATATAGTATAGCTTTTTGTTGTGTTTGGTGCTTTGTGCAGACCAAATCAAACATGAGGATCACAAAATATGTTTTAAGTGCACATTAAGCACTTGTCTTAAGAAATCTAATGTCCAATATAAAGCACTCATCCTTTCTGCTAATCAAATGTCATTAGAGATTAATATTAATAATATCATGTCCGTTTATATTAGAAGTTGATTTAACTTTTATTCAAATTCCAAAAGCTTGCCTGATCTCTAGCTGGCATCCAACACTAGTTTCCTTTTTCTGCATCCCCTTCTGTCTTATGGTATGAAAGCCAGTTACTTTTTTTTGCCTATTCACATAATCATTATTTGATCGGCCGATACTCCTGCTTTTGATCATCGTCGAATTGAAACGAGGTCGAAAAAGGTTGACATCATTGTTTTATCGTCGAATTGAAACGAGGTCGAAAAAGGTTGACATCATTGTTTTTATTAATTAGGGTAAATTACGGCCACCCCCGAGGTAAGGTCAAATTACGAAAATCACCCTCGTGTTTGGGTAATTACAACCATCCTTCTACTATTACTATGAATCTTCTTACAACGTCCACCCTTACGATGTCAAATTCCGTGAAATCTTCTAGATTATGTGGAATATTATCTAGTTTGTACATGTTTCACTCTATTCTGAAACGAGATGTGTCTCTTGGCTTGTAAATGTCAGATTGTGGTGCATCACAAATTTCATTTATGAACAAAACGAGTACAAACTAGAGAACATTGCACGGAATCCAGAAGATTCTGTTGAATTTGACCCAATGAGTCTGGACGTGTAAGAAGATCCATAGTTGAGGGATGATTGTAATTATCCAAACAATAGTTTTGTTCTTTCTTTGTAATTTAACATTATCTCATAGGGGTGGCCGTAATTTATCCTATTAATTAAGGATAAGAACTTAGGTAATGTATTAGATGTGCATTAGTGAAGTGTACCTGTCCAATTACAAGACCTGAAGTTGGAGGGCTTTCTCCAATAGGAGAAGAAAAATCATTAGAAAACAGGGAGCTGATGCCCTTTAATTTGTGGCTTATTTTCTTAGTTTATAGACATAAAACACTTAATTAAGAGGAAATTTGAACTTAGTTTTTGTATTATCTTTTAAATTAAATACAAATTGCAACCCTTCATGCATAAACAAACACTAAGTGGAATCCTGGCCCTTGACAATCCCATGGGGGAAGAATCTACACTCTAGATTATAGAGACAAGAAGTTTGTATATATAAATAATAGAGGTCAAATAGATTACTTTGTGACACACTCAAAAAGTACTTAGGTGATATTAATCAAACCTATAACTACGTAATAATCAATTATATTAATCTTGAATTATGAAAAGATATTCGATCGTTTTGATAAGAAAACTCAAATTACTTGTAACAAGATAACCTCGGCTCGTATCAGTTAACATATGATAAAAACAATTAAAATGTTATATTACATTTCAATTTTACTAACAGCCATTTTGACTTGAACGTAATTTTGACATTTTTATAATCTAATTGCGGGGCAAAAATCAAAATGTGAAAATTGTAGTTCTTTGAGTTAGTTTTTTAATTCAAATTGAAATAACTAGATTGAATTCATTCATTAATGAGTTACATTTTGAATATTATATAACTCAAAAGTCAAAACATTAAAGTTGCTGACAATGTTCTTTGATTCGCCATGTCTTTCTCACACGACATCCAATCTTTGTGATTCAGGTCGTATCAGAAAGCTAACTCAAAGAATTTACAAATTTCGTGCTTTGAGACTTTGTCAAATTCAAACTTAAAAATGGTCGAAATCATATTTGAAATCGGAATAATATTATTTAAACTGAAACGAAATCTATCGAATCCCTAAAAAGCACTGAAAATTAGAACGGCATATGAAGATAAACAAATGTTTTGCTAAAGAGCTAGATAAAATAGAAGTAAAACCTAAAGTATTATTTTCAACTTAGAATAATTCGAAATATATATATATATATAGAAATATTGCTTTAACTCAGCCGGAAAGGTGGCAAAAAATTGCCCAACTGCAGCACATTGCGGAAAAAAGAAATATACCTTTGAATCCACGTCGGCCATTGAATATATCCCCACTTATATACATTACTTTTGAGGTCAAACAGCAGTAATGGCTTTACCAATAACATCAAAAAGTTTTATCTCATATCAATTAAATAAGGGAATATTAGTCATAACCCCCTCTAATGTTTTTTTAATAATGGGAGATCCAGTCCTTTTTTCATTATTAGTGATAGATCTAACTTTTCTATTATTCCAAATTTACCCTCTCTCTTATTCACTTTCCATTACTATAATATATATATATATATATAAATAAATATATACATAAATATATATAAAAATATATATATATATAAAACAACAGATATATAAAAAAAAATATTTTCCAAAATTTTTTAATTCATTTTTATATAAATATAATTTTGGATTTTGATTTTTCAAATCAACTATATAATTCCGAAAACAACTATTTTTCTTTGAAAACAACTATGATTTTTTTGGCTCAATTTTCTTCGTAATCAACTATAAAATTACTAAAAATAACTATTTTTTTTCTTTATTTCCCGAAGCAACTACAATAAACTTGTAAATCGACTACAAAAATTAGTGGTTTACAAGAAACTTGTAAAACGACTACAAAAAATTAGTGGTTTACAAGAAACTTGTAAAACGACTACAAAAAGTAGTGGTTTTCAATAGCAGGTGTACCAAATAAAATCAACTACAAATTAATAATCTCGATCATATATAAAATAATCAAAATCAACTACAAAATTGTCGAAATCAACTATAAAATTATTGAAATCAACTATAAAAATCGAAAAACAACTATAATTTATCTAAATCAACCACAAAATAAAAAACCCTCATTTCAGAGAGAGCTGACTACGGGCTTCGTGAAATCAAACGATGCCGTTTCGAAGAGCTTTTGTTAGTGTGCTATGGATGTCAGGGTTCCCTCGCCGCGTCTCAGCCGCACCACATCTTCGACCTACCAATCACTCTCAAGTGGAGCAAGGACAAAAACCTTCTGGTGTCATCCGCCAATTACCAATCCATCACATCAAATCGCCGCCGAGGAAGCCTAAAACGTTGTTCCATACCTCCCTCTTTGAGATGTTGTCGGGCAGTGTAATCTCCGTCGTTGTCGCGCCGCCAATCCTCGTCTAGGGAGATGGGGATGTCGAGAAGATGTGGCAATTGAGAGGCGCTGGGCAGAGAAGGGGTTCGATGGCAGGGAAGAGAAAGGAAGAGAAGCGAGATGGCAGAGGAGAGAAGTGAGAGATGTGACGGCTAGTGGAATAAAAATGAAGAATGAATTAGAGAACTAGGGTTTTGTGTTTTTATGTAGTAATTTAAGGGTAATATAGACATACCATATAAAATTTGGATTTATGCTAAATTAAAATATAAATATGGGGGGTTCTCACTAATATGCAAAATGAGTGTATATTCATCCTAATATAATCAAATGTTTTAGGGGGGTTTCATTAATTATCCCAATAAATAAAGGGCAAAGTTCACTTTACACTTCTGAATTATGAAAGGTGTCGCGAACATATCCTTTAATTATGAAAAGTATCATTTATATATATATATATATCTTCTTACGGGCTCATGAGATCTTATACATGGTGAAATACACAATGTTATTATAAATCGTAGATTTACATAAATAACTATTCGCTAAGCACGTGTGTGATTAATGATATAAAATTATACGGTATATTTCACCAGATATAAGTTATGCAAAACCCCTCCTCACGTTCATATTCCATTTGAATATGTTGACGTCACATGTTGACTTTTTTGTCACCAACCGTTTTTATAAATTTTTGACATTTTTACCCCTTTATTGACTATATATACTGCGTAATGATTCAAAACTTATATGCGCCTCATTTTTTTACATTTTGTTTTATCATTTTTTTAATTTAAAATTAGTTCTTTTTTACTCATTTTTTTCTTCTTAATTTTACTATAATATCCAACTCTAATTGTCATCATAAGCTCAATTTCATATGATAATCCTAACATAACCATATTAGTAATTCGATACCTAATTTCTTTAATTAAATCGAATATCTTAAAGAGATTAAATTATGAGCGGATCAACCGATATTTAATATAAATCGGATTCCACTAATGTTTTGACATGTGACACTCTTAAGTCTTAACTCTTAATAAATCACGCGCTGATTATAATTAGGGTTAGAGGAGTTACGGGTTATGCTGGGGTTTTCTTTTTCCTTTTATTTTCCAATTATTAGAATCCTAATTATATTTTTATTTAAATTATCCACGTGTCAATTATCCTATGACATCCGATTTTCCTATTAAAACAGGTCATCCGGTCTAACTTTGCACCCTATCTTAAAATATGACATCAAATGAGGGTAAACATTTCTCTCAATGTAAGTCAAACCCCCAACATATTTAAACTTCGTAAACAAGCCTCTGTGATGGATTTTAATTAAAAAAAAGATCAGTCATTATAATCTAAAAAGACATATGCTCAAGTTAATAAAATATTAAAATAAGCTACGCAGTTGCTTAAATAGTCATTCAAGCAATGTTGCAAGATGAGTAATGTTGGAGAAAAATGAAAGAAAGCGATTGTGTATTTTTTTTATTGGGGGAGAAGTATTTGTAAGTACTAAAAGTCCACATATATGTCCCATAGACTAAAGGCGGGGTAAAATAGTAATTGTACAAAAATCACATTACAAAATTAATGTTTTCACATTTTTGTAAGTGTGACAAAAAAATATAGAAAGATATTTATTTCTTTTCGTAATTGAGGAGTATGTATGCGATCCACTCTATAATTCAGAGATGCAAAGAGATCTTTGTGTATGCACATATATTCAATTGTAACGAGATTCACTCCACACATATATATATATATATATATATTGATTATTGATAATTTTATTCCCT